TCTAAAGACATTTCAGTGGAGGGGGTTAGATAGACTATAGGATTTTTTAAAAATACCTTTATTGATATAAATCACATACCATGACATTCACTCCTTAAAGGTATACACATAAATTGTTTTTAGTATGTTGTGTTAATAAGCATCCATCACCACTGTCTAATCTTAGAACAGTTTTGCTGCCCCCCAAAAAACCCATTAGCAGTCACTGCCCTTAGAGTGTAGGATTTTACATTTTAATTCATGAATTTTCCCTCTAAGATATTAAAGTGACTGATACAGTTATTTGTGAACTTACACTACTTCAAATATTGTTTTTATGTAGTTCAATTTTGCTCTCTTGCAGTTCTTGATATGCTTTTGTTTTTGTTTTTATCTGTATATATTTGCAAATTTTCCTGTTACTGAACTGACAACTTGTTTGCTTTGTGTTTTAGTCATTTATTTTGAGAGAGATGTCATTTTCTGGATAGCAAGAATCTATCTTTTCATAGAATCAATACTATGTAGTCTCTTGTGACTTTGTTAAAGCTTTGGCCATCATTTTTTTAATTTCCTGCACCATAACTGGAAGCTCTCATTTACTGACATTACTTTGTGGGAATAGAGGCTAATTTATTTCCCAGGCACTGATTTAAAACAAGCCTTAATGATAGTCCAGTTTCACCATTATGATTTTTCCCAACACAAAGAGAAGCAAAGCAGATAGAAAGGGTAAATGAAAGAGGGAGAAAAAAGGATAGGGAAGATTGCACTAAAATTCTATCACAGATGGGCATGGAGTATTTAGTGTCTCACTTGTACATTTTAAATAAATTGTCCAGAGAGAAATCTTCAGAGTACATGGAAAAAATGTTTAACTTCTCCCTTTGGGAATTCACCCAACCCACCTTGCCCTTTGAGGAAGCAAGTGTTGAAAAAGAAATATTATTCAGTCATTTGTATTTACTTGATAAGCTGAAATGAACAGATCAAGTTTCCATCAGGAGTTTAGTCAATATAATTTCTCAAAGAAAAATATAGGCAATGTATTTTAATACAACTTGAAGGATTTCTGCTTATAGAATTATGTATCTCTGTCTTTGCTATCTGGTTTCTGTTACTATTGTTTCTTTTATTTTATTTCAAATGTTATTTCCTACTCTCTGTTCATCACGTTTAGGCTTTCGTGTGTTTTAAGGGGGGATTTTTAAAATTTTTGCCTGTGTTACTTTCTTAAATGCTGCGTTGTTTTTTTTTTTAATGTAAATGTGTCAAGTCCACAGTCTTAAATAAACTGGAATTAGTCAGAATTCAGAGACAGATTGTCATTCGTTTTCTGTGAATTCTTATTAAGCTTAATACAGTAAATTTTTATGTCTTGATAGTCTGTTTTACTTATTTTTGGAAATTTGTTATTATTAAGTTTTTATTTCTCAGTCTCATCTACTTAGGTTACATCTAGAATAAAACCATTGCATACATATTACAGTAATCCAAATGATAGACATCTCTTCCATTTCTCTCCTCCTAATGTACTTAATGTATTTTGTTATAATAACAATGAGGTTTTATTTCTGAAACCATTAATAATAATAATAATAATAATAACTTACATTTCTAAAAAGTAGAGAATCTTATCAATGGTAGGAGATAAAATTAGAGACAAAATTGTTTTTGTAGGTTAAGTAAGTGTTATTTTGAACCAGATAAAGATAACTATCACATTCCATCTGGCTGATGGATTATGATTGTTTTCCTGTGAAATGTTATTAAGGCCGTTGAATTGATTATTATGTACAGAACACATACTCACACACAACGCATACATAATTTGATTTTTAGAAGTTTCTTAGTTTGCCATCAGTTTGCAATGTTTATGAGAGAATCTCATTATTTTCTGATGTTGTTTAATGAAATCTTTGGTTCTATATTGACATTATTCTCGAGAGAATGTACTTAGAATTACATGTAGTCACAGTTATCAGACACTTTAAAAAATCAGATTAAAAGACCCATACAGTCATGAAAAAAAATAACTCAGTTAGTGGATCATAGGTTCAAACTGCACTAACTGTTGGTGTTTTCCATTTTCTGTGTTTTCCTAACTTCCTTTAGTCTCTCTTACACTGTTATTTATCATTCAGTGGAGCCATCCAATATGATTCTGTCAAAAGATAAAGGCTAGCATTGACTTAATGATTCAAACAGGACTGATTTGGAAATTTCGGTGCTAAATACATTGATTTTATGACCTGAAATTAATTAGTTCATGTAACCTTTAATTACCTCAGTATCACCTGCAAAAATACAAACTGAACAGTTAATTTTTTTTATTTAAAGGAAAAAATAACATTTGTAGTTTATAGCACTTTTCTTGAAGTCTAAGTTTACAACAGAAAAAGCAGGGGTTAACATGATTGGTAGTTTGGAAAAAGACTGGGGTAGGTTCCAAGAGCACAGGGAGGGAGGGTGCTGGGAAGAAGCATAGCACAGGGCTTAGCCCCAGAATTAAAATGTGGGCTGGAAAACTAGCAAAGCCTTTTTGAAAGATGCCAATTAGGTCATGAACATTTATAATGGATTAGAACATCCTTGAGTTCTAGAACATAACCAAGCTCTTAA